ACAGTGATGTGAAATCTGCTATTAAGTATGGTAGAGATAATGTGAATCTTGAAACTGTTGTGAATGGTTTGAAAAGCAAAGAGCTGGATTTGAAAACCAGCAGGGGTAATGCGAATGTCGATGAGGTTAATTTTGTGAGGGGAAAGCCTCAAAATCATTTTCAAAATGAAAAACCTCCGGCAAATCAAAATTTTGGCAAAAAGAAGGGTACGTGGAAAAATTAGTCGAAGTCTCGATCGAAAAACTGTAAGTGCTATCATTGTGGTGAAATTGGTCATTACATGAATGGTTGCCCTAATCCCAAGCAAAACCAGCATAATGATCGTGCGAATATGGCATCTAGTAGTGAAAACCTTGGTGAGGTGTTTTATGTGAATGAAATGCATGATAATGTGAATCCTGTGTGTTCTCGTTCTCTTTGTGAAACTGAATGGCTTGTTGATTCTGCATGCTCGTTTCATATGTCTTCTTTAAAACACTTGTTTTCGAACTATAAAGATGTGAAGCATGAATTTGTTTCTATGGCTAAAGAGAAATCGTGTGAAGTTGCTGGTATTGGTGATATTTGCTTGAGATTTGATTCTGGTTATATGTTAACTTTGAAGAATGTGAGGCATGTTCCTGATTTGTGTCATAATTTGATATCATGTGCTGCTTTAGAAGATTATGGTTTAGAAGGTAAATGGGGAAATGGTGTTATGAAAATTTTGAAGGGTTCTTGGTGATCTTCAAAGCTGTTAAAAGGTTGAACTTGTATGTTTGCATTGCTGAATCTTGTATGCAAAACCCTGTGAATGATGTCTGTGGTGACAATACTGATTTGTGGCATAAGCGTTTAGTTCACATGAGTTCTAGGGGTCTTGAGATTTTGCATAAAAATGGCTCTTTTGGTTGTGACAAATTGTCTTGTGTGCCATTTTGTGATTCTTGTGTGCTTAGCAAACAATCTCGAGTGAGTTTCCCTGTTTCTGAACCTGTCGTTGCTCCAAGCAAGGTGGAGCTTTCATGTCTTTTGTTTGATGATGTGCATCATGTGCCTATTATGCTCGATGAGGACTCTATTTCTGACAATCTATCTATAAATGTATTTGATAATCATGTTGATGATGCTGTTGTGCATGTGGAAATTGTTGAAAATTTGCCTAAATCTGATCTTTGTGATTTGCATGACTATCAATCGGCTAGAGATAGATATAGAAGAGATAGGGCTCTTTATGTTTCTAAACTAAGAAAATGGTTCTTAGTAGATTCTAAATGGTTGCCATGTTGCTTGAAAATTTTGATTTTTGATACGTGTGATTGATGCGTGTTATGTGACTTTGTATGAGGTAACCGACTTTATGTCTGCTATATGTTTGCTCTAACTTTGTGTTTGAGTGCAGGTACGGTAAGGTAAAGGCGATGCTGACCCCTGTCAACCCGAGTCTTGTGAACCGACTTTGGGCCAAGGTGGAGATTGTTGGTGTTGTGGCCCAAATGACATTTAATTGATGGCCCAATATTCTAATAATTCTCCAGCCCAATCTCTTTGGCCTGAGCCCGGTTTGGCAGCCCATTAAGATCTAAAGTGATCTTGGCCGTTCGTACTCTAGTTACCAGATCTTGGCCTTTTATTCCCTTCTTTTTATAACCAGTTGAAGCCCTAAGAGTTGAGTCAACCTTAGCAGCCATCAGATATAACGTTCAGAGAGCTTGAGAGTTTAAAACTCCTAAATATGGGTAACAACCATCAGATAATTAGGCCTTGAGAATTCAAATTCACTCGCAGCCATTGAAAAAGGAGCAGCCCTAAGAGTTCAAAAACTCCACGCAGCTGCATTTTGAAATTCAAAATCTGATCCGATTTTCACTCTCTCTGTTACTCTCTTGCTTACAAATACTCGCAGGAATCTTGTGAAGAAATGTAGATCCTATTTTTCCCTCTGTTGTTTACTTCTATCGCTGTCTCATGTTCTCTTTTCCGACTTGGTGTCTAGTGAACCAATCCTCTCTTATCCTATTGAATCTTGGTGATTATACGATTGTGAGTGTGTTAGGGTTCTTTAGTGTGTGAGCTGAGCGATATTGTGAGAGGGATTTTGGGGGGTTTCGGGTACGGGCTATCTTTCTGGACGAGAGTTGTGCATCGATAGGTGGTGTTACCCTGGGTTTACAGTGCCGAAATTATTGAGGCCAAGGGTCCAAATTGATCGGTTCTTGTCGGCTATTCGGTGACTCATTTTGTGGGTTTGACAAGAAGGGGACTGAGCCTGCTCTATATTGAACCATCTTCGTAGCAATCGGGCCTCATTCCGAAAAAAGAGAAAAGGGTGTATTCGTTCCACTTCATGCTTTGTTTAATTTCAGCTTTGTCAATTCATTTATATTGTTTGATTGGTGAAATTAGTATATTTATTGGTAATTTTTGTTTTTGTCTTGAAGCGAACAAACCGGAACTTGGTCGGGCCAGAAAGGTTACTGTTCTGGAATTAAAAGTTGCTGTCCGGGACCTGCTGATTGCTGTCCGGGCTCTACAGGGACTGTCCGGGACTTATTGGTTGTTGTCGGGGCCTGCAGGTTGTTACCGGGACGAACCAGAGGCTGTTCGGGACGATTCGGGGCCAGCCCAGGCCCGGCGAGTCGAGCCAGACGACCACCCAACAAACATAAAAGAACACAACAAATATACAGACGATAAATCAATTTGTCATTATATACAGAATATATACAGCGGATGATACATCCGCCGACAACACCAACATTGAACCTCCTTCACCGATGATACAGCCGCCGACAGCACAGAAGCCGGAACCGCCGGCCTTTCCAACGTCACCCTCATCTATCAATTTAATAAAAACAAAAAAAAAATCACATCTTTTATTCAAACCTACACCCTGAAAAGATCACATATTTTATTCAACAATGTCCCCCCCCCCCGAAAAGACCACCGAATGTGAACTACATGGGCTCGAAATCGCATTTCCACATTGCGGAGAATAGTTCGAGACTTTCGTGTATGAACCCAACCCTACCGTAACAACCTATCATGGTATTATAGGATACGACGTTTGTTTGCGGAGTTCCATCGAACATCTTGCAGACCATATCGATCTCGCCGAGAGATGCGTATTTGGATATGATACTGTTGTGAAGGAATACAAGTTCTTGATTTTGGGAACGAGCCCACTGTGACGACGAGAGCGTGGAAAGATTTTGCCTCGTCGAGTGAAGTAGTGTTCGCGGGGTCGGGTAGCGCGGCGACACGACGGTGGTTTTTGATGTTTTCGCCATTGGAGGTGGCTGAGAAGAGAAACTTTTGGGTCGAAGGAAGAAATCTATTGGTGCAGATGCTTTGATCAACGTGAAGATATGGTGAGAGAATTCACATAAACAAACCCCGGAATTAAGAAAAATGGGCAATCCTCAGACTGAACTTCGATTCCATTCTTTCCTCGCTTGACAGTCTTTCTTAGCTGCCTGGTGTCAGTAAAGGTGTAGCTACGGTATCCCAAAGTTAGTTGTGCAAAGAAAAGCTTCGTAGCAGCTAATTCCCTCACTTCGGTTCGATCTTTACATAAGTACACTATGGAGATCATAGGCAAGGCTCATCTCACTGACGACAATAAAGTTGAGACACCTCTTGAGCGGAATGTGAAACTGTCCCCCAGTGAAGGAGACCCAGTTGCAGATCCGTCAAAGTCTTGTCAGTTGGTCGGGAGCTTGATATATGTGGCTTCTACTAGACCTGAAATAGCATTTTCCGTTCACGTGGTCAGCCAGTTCATGAGTGATCCTCGACCGACCTCATTTTACAGCATGGGATGTTGAGTTTCTATGGTAGCATAGTTTTCGATTCTTCCTCTGCGTTGGTACAGAGGCTATAATTCCGGCTGAAATTGGGATTAACACTATTAGAACAGAGGAATTCCAAAGTAACCAGTGCCACCCGAAAAACCCTCAGCTTCTACTTGCATAGAATCGATAGCTTTTTCTCTAGCCGCACTATTAACTCCTACTCCTAAATTCTCATCCTCCCGTCCAATCGAGGTAGCTATAAGAGGAGGATGACTGTTACTAGATTCAGTATACGGAATAGCTTTAGTAGCCTGGACAACCACACTAGTTGAGGACACTGGTACTTTCAATGCAATGTTTGTTATTTCCCGCAGAGCGGACTTTCTGGACACTGCCTTGTCATTAGTGTCCTTGGAAGACTGGACCTGAACCACAGTTGACTGTTCCCCTGTTTTATTCTTTCCTTTCGACTTCCCATTAAAGCTCCTATTAGACACTGAAGCTGCACGAGTTTCGCCCTTCAGTGAGGGGCTCAGTCTCGGGATTTACTTCGAACTCGGCGCACTTAGATAGGCAAGTTCGAATCAGCCACGAGGGTAGGCAAACTGAGGTTTTTATATCCAGGATTTCACCTTTTCTGAGAGAGCTAGCTCCTGTGTTTTTTGACTTTGATCGCTATGGACTAGTACCATGTTCGACCATAAATTAAGCTAATTATTGAAATAATTAAATATCTGGTAAAGCTGCAAATAAAACCAGATTTCTTGCTATATTGTAAATATTTAAAAAAAAAAAAAAACTTCATTAATGTAATAAAATATTAATTGTCCGGTGTATATGCTAATTTTCTCTTTTACTGAAGTTAACAATATCCAAAGAGCATATTAAGTTCCTGGCCCATGTAGAAGACGGATCCTTTTGTAGTTAATTTTGATAGGCCTTAGCCCAACCCAGCCCAGTCACCTCGAGTGGAACAAACACACCCCAAAGACCCAAAGACAAAGAAACTCCCGCCAAATCAAGAAACCGGCTACAGCCAGTTTCCAATACCGTAGCCGGTCATCCCTATAAATACCACAAAAAGCGAACCTCCAACCGAACGGTGAAAGAATATTTCCTTTTCCTCTCCTTCGGTTGCTCCCTTCAAAACACGCCCAGTTTGTTGCTGCCTTAATCGTCCTTAACACCGCCGTCTTCTCCATTTTCCGGCGCTCTTTCCTCGCCGTGAAGTTGTCTGCCGTCGCGGCTCAATCAGGTGCATATTTGAGCAACCGCGAACCGTGCCGAGATTCTCCGCATCCTTGGCTTTGGCAGAATGAGTGCGATTAACATCACGAACGTCACCGTGCTCGACAATCCGTCGTCGTTTCTGTCCCCTTTTCAGTTCGAAATCTCATACGAATGCGTTTCTCCCCTCAAAGACGGTGATGGGTTTACTTTCTCTTTTTCTTACCCTGTGCTGTTTCCCGTGGGCTACATGATTGTGTGTTTATCCGTTGATTTTATTTTGATTTGTGGTGCTGATAATTTCTAGGGTTAGTTGATTCTTTGGTGAGTGTATTAGGATTCGCGTCGTTTTCAATTTTTTTTATGTCGTTTTAATTTCGGAACTGAATTTGATGTCTTACATTTGTCAGAAACTTGTAGTCAGCTGGCCAAAAATGTTAATATTGTTAGGAAGAAGAGATATGGCGATTAGGGTTTTGCAACTTCCGAGTTGCAGAAGACATTTTTGTCGGTAAACATTTCACAGCTGCCATTGGTGGAACAATGACTTAGAGAATAGAAATGGGCTGTAAGAAGAAGTTTCTGAAAAGTCAATTTAGCTCTGATCATTTCTGGAACATTTGAGAACGAACTGAACATCAATGTAGATTTTCTGTAGCAATTAGCATCTCTTGATGATGACTTGGTCTTATATCATGTATCTTAGGATAGGAGGTTGACACACTCTACAATAATTATTTTAGCTCTGGCTATGGGGTGTCTAGTGATCTTGGCCGACAAACTTGAAATTATGGATGCAACTTCGTGGAAATTGTAAATTTGAATAATATCGAGCTAGGAGTAGAATAATCATATTATGGATCTTCAGTTATCCTGAACAACCAAACTATGCTAGACAGCAGTGGCAATGTAATGCCTTGCCCATGTTGTAAACTCATCTGTTATATTGGTAGCAAGCTGAATGAACATCTGCATAAACAAGATATTTTAACTCGATAGGTTGTAGGATATGTTTTATGACTTCATTCGAGTCTTTTCTTTGAGTCGATATATAGCATTGGATCAGAATGACTAGAAGGTAAGGGTCTTATTCATCGCCCATGTTGTAAACTTATTTGCTATATTGGGAGCAAGCTGAATGAACATCTGCATAAAGTAAGTATTATAACTAGGTCGGTTTTCGGGTGTATATCAATGACTTCATTGAAGTCTCTTCTTTGAGTAAATGTGTAGCACTGGAACCGAATGATTAGTAGGTAAGTGTCTTATTCGTCATATCTGTCAATATATTATTTGACGGTTTTATTTGACTGTAGGAGTGAGATAGGCTCTTCTGTTTCTAGTGAAATTTTATTGATAGCCAGTGAACCCATTTGTCAATTACCCATACATGGTTTTCATGCACGAGTTAATGAAGTAGCAGAACTACTATTGATTCGAGCGCACCCCTTCAGTACTATTTGGTTAAAGCCAATATATCTTTTTCAGAAGGTTATGAAACTCTATTTGGGAAATTGAAAACAAGATCAATGAACTCTGGAACATCAATGCATTCTGAATAGGGAAACAAGGAAATCGTGGGAGGATCAGAAAATGTAACTGTCAAAGATCTTATGCTATTTTCTTCTGTCTTCTCCTCATATTGCGGTATAAAGTTTCCAATGCGAAAAGATAGGCATAATGAATTTGCATTTCATCTGTTATATTGTTATAGCTAATAGTGATCATTTGTAGATGAGTTTCTAGCTGTTACCTGCCGTTCAAATTGGAAAGAAACAAACACCCCCATGTACCTTCCAATAGAAATTTGGGTTGCTGTTGGACATGCATGTAGTCATGGCCAAATGCCGGTTCCGGTTCGGAACAGCCAATACAGGTTCGCATTTTATGTGAACCGCAACCGGCCCAGGTATATATACGGGCCGGTTCAGAACCAGCCCGCCGGTTCCGAGCCGATCCGGTAAATTTAAAAAATAATCAAAAAATAATTAAATAAATTAAAAAAGATGAAAATTAAAATCCATTTTAAATTCGCGAACCGAAGGTTCAGTTTGTGAAAAACACATGAACCTGAATCGACACGGGTAAAACCACGGGCCGGTTCAAAGCCCGCGGTCAACAGGCTTGACGGAAAAGGCATATGTCGAGTTGAGGCGACAAGCTTTCTATTTTCTAAGGCGTGGCACTTGAGGCGAGGCACTCGCCTTAATGAAGCGAGTTGAGCGAATATGGAAACTGAAAAATTAGCCTCCATGTTTATAATCTAATTGGGTAATAAGAAAAAAGGAATTTGAAATGTGGTTTAGCTCACCTGCAGCAACAGAAAAACTGAAATCAGTACCGCTTCCAACTTCAGTATAAAGAAAAAGTGGAAAATAAAAAGGGTTGTGCAGCACTGCTGGAATCACCTTCAGTGGGAGATCCGGCAATGTCTATCTTCGGACATAAATGAGTCGGCCAGAAAACAGAGAAAAGAAGGGGAAAAAGCTGAAAGGAAAGAATGGGAAGAAGCTGAAAAAAAAAAAAAAAAAAATAAGGAAGGAGAAACACGCCTCTCTCCACCGTCGCTGTTCACTGGAGAAGTGCCGGAAACTGATTGCCTCCGTCAGGTTAAGAAAAGGCACACTAAACTGGATTTTGTTGGAGAGATTATGTGCAATTTAGAAATGGTATATCAAGTCTAATAGCCTTAATATTAAACAAAATATGTGTAATTTAGAAATGGTGTATCAAGCCTATAGCCCTAATATTTTAAAAACATGCTCTGCTTGCCTCGATTTTTTTTTAGGCGAGCACCTCAACTTTCCTCGCTTCACATGAGGTGTGTGACTTGACGACGCTTTTCGAAAGGGCGCGTCGCCACACCTACTTGACATGCCCAAGCCTTGCCTTGCCTCGCCTACGATGTCTTTCTAGTCACTGGCTATAACAGTAGAGTTACTTATATGCGAATTGGTGTATATCACCGAACAATGATTTTGAATATGATGAACACTTCACTTCTATGATTATATACGACTGCTGAGGGTTTGCTCAAATCATGAGTTTATTACTCTGTCGTCCTGTGATGATTTTGTGATTGTTTAGGAAGATATTTTCCCATTTCATTTTTTTCACCTCTAATTGCTTTTCATACCCCACTTTCATGATGATTCCTTCAACTGTTGATGCCATATTAATACATGAAATACAATTGTTTTATTTGCTTCATTGAAAATTCTCTCGTTTATTCCAGTTTCTAATTAAAAAAAATAAAATGCAGATTTGGAGTGGAAGCTCATTTACGTGGGATCCGCAGAGGATGAGACTTACGATCAACTCCTAGAAAGTGTCCTCGTCGGCCCTATCAATGTTGGAAATTATCGTTTTGTTTTGCAGGTAAAGAAAATAACTGTATATGTTTAGCTGACTACATTTTGCAACATTGATATCTTATCCTTTACTGGGGAATTAACATCAGGCGGACCCACCAGATCCTTCTAAGATTCGTGAGGAAGACATCATTGGAGTCACAGTGCTTTTATTAACATGCTCTTTCTTGGGTCAAGAGTTTATCCGCGTGGGCTATTACGTGAATAACGACTATAACGACGAAAAGCTCAGAGAAGAACCTCCCCAGAAAGTCTTGATCGACAAAATCCAGAGAAATATATTATCTGATAAACCGAGAGTGACCAAGTTCCCCATCAATTTTCACCCTGAAAATGAGACTGGAGAAGAAGTGCCTCAACCCGAGAATGCTGTTGAGGTAGATGGGTTTGAAGAACAAAAGAAGCTTTCGAATCATGCTTCAGATTAGAAGAGCCTAAAACATGTCGAATCCTATGTCTCTCTCTTACTTCTTTGGTTGGTTTCATGTGCTGACTACCCTTTAGGCTTTTTCTGTATTTCACAGTGTATTGTGGTTTGGTTTTTCATTGCAAATTGCAGTTCGAAATTTGCATTTGTAATCTTACTTTTGTACATGTTTCCTTCAATTCTATTGCCAAATTCATGATTAACTGGACTGAACATTTGTGCAGGGTTAAATAAGGTGCTAATTGGCACTAATATATTTTGTTTTGTGTTCACAATGATAGCCTGCAAAACTTCAGCTACCGTTTTGGGCATATATCCATCTCGTCTCAGTATGTTCACTATTTTCACATGTTGGGTTACATGTTGTAAAGGATATTAGTCTAGCTTCATCATGTCGTGGTATCATCCCAAGATCATAAACATATTTGAGAGAAAAACAAGTTTCTATTACTCACAAGAATAAAAACACAAGAGATTTACAAACTCTGAACAAAAAACTCTCAAACTCTCCATAACTCTTTCTTGGTTGTGTTTCAACACTCTCAAGGTTGATTGATCACACTCTTGGATAATTTGAATGAATGAAATGAGAAGCCTATTTATAGGCAAGGTTAGCACACCCCCATTGACAAGCTTTAGCAAATCATTGTTGAATGTGTGTGTGAAAGAAGGTTGGTGGAGTCGTTGGTGGATAGTCTTCTTCTTCATTGGTGTGCTTTATGGAAGACTCTTCCTTGGTGTGCTAATGGTAGTTGCATGGAACTTTCAATTCTCCCTTTTCCATGCAAGTTCTGAACAAGCATTCCTACTATGTCTCTACATAGTTTAATCTTATCCAGTGTAACCACTTTTGTCAACTTATCTGATGGATTCTCCTTCGTATTGATCTTCACTAGTTTCAACAGTTGTTGATCAATTTTCTCGCGTATCCAGTGATACCGAACATCAATATGCTTTATGCGGGCATGGTACATAGAGTTCTTGCTTAAGTCAATAGCACTTTGACTATCACAATATTCCTTGTACTCTTTCTGCTTAATCTCAAGTTCTTGGAGATAGCGTTTTAGCCACAACATTTCTTTACCAGCTTCAGCGGCAACAATATATTCAGCTTCTGTTGTGGATAAAGCAACACACTTCTGCAATCTTGATTGCCAAGAAATGGCTCTCCCTGCAAAAGTGTAGACATGGCCCGAAGTAGATTCTCGACAATCAATATCTCCGGCCATATCAGCATCAGTATATCCTTCCAAGACTAGATCAGCTTCCCCATAACAAAGACACGTACCCTTCAAGTATATGAGAATTCATTTGACAGCTGCATACATCAGACTTCCAACTGCTGAAGAGTATGGCACTGCAGACATCTTCCCCATCTCTTCCTTGGATGTGGGACATGATCTTTTGCTCAACTTGAAATGATTTGCAAGTGGAATACCTATTGGTTTGACATCACTCATATTGAATCTTCAAGTACTCGTTCAATGTACTTCTCTTGAGATAGCCATAACTTGCCGTTCTCTCAGTCTCGAGTAATCTGCATCCCGAGAATCTGTTGAGCCTTTCCTAAATCTTTCATATCAAAAGACTTGGAAAGTTTGTTTGTCCTATTTTTGTTGAATTTTTTCTTGTTATTTTTCCTTTCTTTTTCCCCCATATTAGGTCTTTTAGATGGTTTTCGATTCGTTTTGTAGTTTATTGCATATTTTCTTTCATTTAGAGTGTTTCCGTGTTTTATCGTTCGTTTTCCGGTTTTCTCTGTTTTTCTTCTCGTTTTTGGTGTGCAGGTCGAAAGCTTCGGGAGGGTAAAATTTTTGGAAAATATTGGTGGGGCAAGAATATTTGAATAGAAGAGTTCGTTGGCGACAAGTAGAAAAAACGGAACTCAATTCTAAGTTCGGACGAGCTCAAACGAGCCAAAATCGTAAAATCGCGGATAGTTGCCTGCACCCAGGCGCCGCGGCGCGCCAGTGCCGCAACCTGGACAGAGGACCAGATATTGCGCGCCGCGGCGCGACGCCCAGCACGGCGCGACATCCCCCTTCGCCGCGGCGCGACGCCCACCGCGGTGCGACACCTGCGCGTCCCAACTTATTTTTCGACCTGTTTTTGCTCAGTTTTTCGATCCTTGTATATGGGGACTCGTTCCCAACCCAAAAGAAAACACCTCTCGACCGGGGGTGAAAGCCCTAGGTCCCGAGAACAGGACGCAAAGCTCATCTCTTCTCCTTCTTCTCCCTTCTTCTTTTCCATCATTTTTCTTCTTCTTTTCACCATTATTTTCCATTTTTCTTATTCTTCTTCTTAGTTAGGGTTTAAGCTTGTATTTCAAATTCAACTTTGGAACTTGGATTGATTATAAGTATTTCTTTCTCTTGTTTAATTCATGCATAATGGTTAGCTTGAGAAGAATGATTATGTTTATTGAGTTTGATTTACGTAGCTAAATCTGATCGTTAAGGATAGGGGAATGATTATTCTAGTTTAATGCGTATCTCTCGGGCTTCGATTCGTTCATACTTATGTGAGTTGTTTTGATTAGGGATTGATATATTCTTGCTTGATTGATTGATATAATCGAAGAGTGACACATCGATCTTGCAATTGGTAACAATTGAATGTTAATTTTTTGAGTTAGGGTTTTGTTGATTCTATGTGGTTAGTTGATTAAACACCTTCTAATTGAATTAGCGACTTTCTGAACCGAAAGGGGAAGAAGTCGTAGACCTAGGCTCGCATGATGTATATGATTTCGTAACTGAATAATCTATGTGTTTTAGATTGAAATACGTGCTTATCGATGACCTGTCCCTTGTTACGAAAAGTTATTGGGATTGGTATAATTGGCCTGTATTGTATGCTCGAACTTGTACGTCTATATTCAATCCCTTGTTACGAAGTTATTGGGAGCGAACCGCTAGATGTCTGAGCGAGAGTATCAATCTCGAACCGAACAATTGATTGCCCGGTTGTGCTAGAACTTGAATTAATTATCCCCGATTCCCTAGCTTCTCCATCCTTGTTTCGTTTGCATCTTTAGGTAGTTTACTGCTTTTTACTATTTCTTAGTTGGTAATTTCTCCACCCCTATTTGATTAGTGTGTTTAGGATTTCTTTTGTTTTTATGTGTTATCAATATCATTTCTAAATTCCGAACCGCCTTCCTCGTGAGATCGACCCGGGGAACGAATCTTTCGATTCGGTACTCGGTAAAAATAACAATTTGTACACAACAAATTTGGCGCCGTTACCGGGGAAGGCAAGTAGGATATTTGGTCTTGGTATTGATTTTATTTTTTGTGTTTCTCTTATTTTCGTGATTTTTGTATTTTTGTTCTTCCTTTTGTGCTTCTTTGTTTTTTTTTTTTTTTTTT